GTGTGTGTGTGTATATATATGTTTTTTTAAAATTTGTGTTTTTTTTTTTGTTTTTTTTTTACAAACATCATACATAGAGATATCTCTATATATAGTGTTTGTACACACAAACTTTGGGCTTAGGAGGGGGCGGGCATAGACAGCAAGCTGAGCTGTCAGTCAGCTCGCGCACATGCACGGTACAGCGCTCAGGGTTCATTCATAGAGCGGGATTCAATGCCGCTCTATGAAGAACGCAGTTGGTGCAGCGTGAAGCTGTGGATGTGCACCAGATTGCTATGACACTTCTCCAAGAGAAGCGTCTGACTGAGCCCTGCTACTTTGTCATTTTGATGAAAAAGGGGGAGTGACCTGCCAAGGATCTTGGCGCTGGAACAGAGGTAAATTTTATTATAAATCACTGGAATTTTTTATTTTTTTTAAGGGGATATTAATATAAAAGCAAGGAAGAAGGCTAGGGAACCAGTCTTTCTTGCTTTTATATTTTGACTATAGTGCTCCTTTAATCTTCAATTTAAAGCCATGTAATATTTAAATAAATAAAAACACAAAACAATACAATTATAAAGCAATGAAGTGATTACTTCAAATTAAAGAAATGAACCATAAACCATGCATTTAGTGTGCTCATCCTCTCTTCTTTCTTGATTTGTGTTAAAAAAAAAAGTTTATGAAGTGACCCTTACATTTATTTATGTGCGCCATTTTATGGAGAACAAAGTATCCATTTTGAGATAATTCCAGCTCTTTCCTTTGTTTTCTTAAAGTTTTCTTTTATTAAGACAATAAATTAAGCATACTTGACAGTCTTAAACATATCACTCAGCATCTAAAAAGTGTTCCTTGCAGGCTAATTTTGTTTCATTTCTAACTAGACCACACATAATTAATTAAAACAAACTGTTTCTGAAAGGCATGCTACAGAACAGATGTTTAAAAGGTCACACGTGGCAACAATGGAATAGAGCTTCGATGACAAACTTAGTAAAGACTAAAATTGAGACAAATCTGTAAAATGGACACTCCAAGCACCATAAACACAACAGCTTTAACAGCTTATTGTACAGGTTATGACACTAGGAGGCCATGGGTGCAGGTTTTTTTCAACACTTGGACAGGTTAGAAGAAAATTAAATTTCCTAAATTTGATATTGACTTTGGGTGCAGGAAATTCCTATAGTTATGATCAACTCTATTGGAAATATTTTTTTTTTTTTTTTTGTAAACACAACAATAAGTACCATAATATGATGTATGTAGACTATATGGTGATTGAAGCACCAGTTTAAAGAGATCCAAGGTCATGTGCACATTAATTATTAAACTATTTCTTGGAAAGAAGGAATCCTTAAAATGCAAACTAATAAGTTGCACCGCAGCTGCCAAACCTAACCGGAAAAGCCATTTTTATACAAATGATTGCGACCCAGGCAAAAACCAGGTATACATCCCATCAGATATATAAAAAAAAAAAAAAAAAACCCACACACACACCTCTAAAATCCAACAAGATTTGGGCTTGATGGCACACATCACATAGGGCAGACATAGGCAACATTCTGCACTCCAGATGTTTTGGACTATACCTCCCATGATGCTTTGCCAGCATTATGGGTGTAAGAGCATTATGGGGGATATAGTCCACAACATCTGGAGTGCTGAAGGTTGCCTATCTCTGCCCTGGGGGAACCTTAAAGGAATACTAAAGCATTATGAATACAAGCTTGTATTCCTAATACTTTAGAGTCTGTGTTGCTAGTTAGAATGGTCCTACCTCCATGAAATGTTTTTTGTTTTTTTTAACAAAATAGAAAATTAGAAAAATTGCATTTCTACTTACATTTCTCAAGCACCGAGGCTTCCTCGGCACTGCTCATCTCTCCACCTAAGTCAATATCAAGGAGGCAGCAGCATGGCCTTCTTCATGATGGACCAATTCAATGTTCCTCATAGAACAGATGCGCATGCGCGGCAAGAGCCGCACAAAACATACAAGCCTCTCCATAGGAAATCACGAACTCTGTGTTTTTATACTCAGTCAGTCCCACGGAAAAAAAAAAAAAAAAAAAACACCACACACTTGAAATGTTTTACTGACTGGGTGACTCTAGCTTTTCTTTAAGGAATATGGAATATTACTGCTTTTTTTTTTCTTAAGGTAAAATTGTTGAATGTATCTATTTATTTGTACTAGCATTCATAATGCTTGATGATTATGTGAAATAACTCCATTGTTCAGTTGTTTTTTTTGGAGAAAGAAAAGATTAGAAAAACAAATTTAATTAATTTAAAAACAAAAAAGGGAGTGGGGGGGGGGAGGCAGGAGTAGGACGTTCACCAAAACATCCAAAGTAGATTTTTTTATTAGACCATGCAACATCTTTATGAATGTAGACATCCTTGCCAAGAAAACAAGCACAAGTGACACAACTTGGCATTCTGTAGTGGAAGAAGCTGCCCGAGAGGTTAATAAAAAAAAAAAAAAAAAGTTTTAAGGGGGGCTTAGCTGACTAGGCAACTAGAAAGACGTGCTTGTGTGGAGCTCCGTAAAAACAGCAGACAACTGTAATTAAAGGACCACTATAGGCACCCAGACCACTTCGGTTTAATGAAGTGGTCTGGGTGCCAGGTCCAGCTAGGGTTAACCCCCCTTTTTTTTTTAATAAACATAGTTTCAGAGAAACTGCTATGTTTATAAATGGGTTAATCCAGCCTCTAAAGCCTCTAGTGGCTGTCTCATTGACAGCCGCTAGAGGCGTTTGCGTGCTTCTCACTGTGAATGCTTTCCTATGAGACTGGCTGAATGTGCACACAGCCCTTGCCGCACATGCGCATGCGCATTCAGCCGAAGGGGAGGAGAGGAGGAGGAGAGCTCCCTGCCCGGCACTTGAGAAAGGTAAGATTTTAAGCCCTTCCTCTCCCCAGAGCCCGGCGGGAGTGGGACAAGTATGTTTTCCTGGCACTATAGTGGTCCTTTAAAAAGCTCCAAACAAGCCTCACACCTCAACACCCCCCACACAGCAGACACTATGGGGTGAAAAAAATAGAAAATTCTGCATCCCAGAATCATCAAAACTGCCCGATATCAGGCCTACATTTGACAGGCCTACTCCTCCCCGAGTTTCACCTAATATGGCTCCGGCAGAACTGAGTGAGGAGGAGGCCTCCGAGGCATCCCGAGATGAAGAGGAAGCTCCCGCCTCTCCTCTGACACCTGGCCCCTACAATGAGTCTGACTCTGATGAAGACTTGTTGCCAGCGCCAAAACGGGATATCTAAGATCTTCTGCTGGAAATGAGACAGGTGTGAAAAGCAGACCTGTGCATAACTTAGCTGGGAACCCTGTGTCAAAGGCTCATCGAGGTGGAGTCCAGGGACAAATCCAAGGAACAAAAGCTGCAGACCACCCAAGAAGAGATCCAGGACCTCGCTCAACAAGTCCAGAGACTAACCAGGACTGTGACAGAGCTAAAATCTCAGTACAGGAGAAAGAATACCCAACTTAGGAGGGCTGCCAAAGCAAGCTGCATGAGATGCCCTACTACCCCTCGTCCAGCAACTACTGACCTCCATGGGTGCTAAAAGAGTTGCAGATCCTGAGATTGTCTTTTTGCTGTTCCGATTCCGCAAAGCTGCATCTGCCCCCGTGGATGCACCTAGAGACATTATTGCAGTGACTAAAGATTTTGCGGCTTGGTCTGCCATAATGTCCCGATCTAGAGAGCTTGGTAATTTCCACTTCGAGGAATGCACCATAGTTATCTATGGAGATCTCCCATTCACCGTGCTGGTAGTGAGGAGGCAGCCAGCACCTGTTGCAAGACAGCTGCTGGAAGCCGCAATTAAATATAGGTGGGGATACATGGTTCACTAGTGGTTCAGAAGGGAGATGACACACTCACATCACCCTCCTCTGGAGACCAGGCGACCTTTCTCCAGCGTCTACACTTGCCATCCAACAACCCAAACTGGGTCCAAACGGCCAGGAAGAGCAAAAAGTGCTGACCCCCAATATACCTTAGGCACATGTAGCCATAGTTCCAGGATATCCCAGGGAAACATACACAAAAGATGCCACAGGAGGTTTTGTCATCCAGTTAATGACCCACAGACCACACAAGTTTGTAAGAACCTTTGCTTAGGAACTCTTCTACGTGTTTTTGCTCTCTCTTTCGTTTGCTTTACGTTCCTCAGTTTCTTTCTATATCTCCATATAATTACACCTAGCGGAGGGATATATTAATAGTCAGGAGCAGAAAAAAAAATAGCTCATAATGCAAGTCTCATGTAATGAATGTCTTCATACATAACTCTTAATTGACATAGTGTATGTATTGCCTCACCCATGACTCTGTGACCAATGTTTTATAATCTTATTTTTCTAATACTGTGAACTACTGTAATTTGTGTGTGTGCAAACTACAATAAAATACAAATAAAAAATAAATTTAAAAAGTTTTTTTTTTTAAAAATACTAAAGGGGGGGGCGGGGCCTGACTGCAGAGAGCAAAGGATGCAAACTCGTTCGGCTCTTGCTCTGCGGCACTAAATAAATGGATTTAGAAAGCCAAAACGGGATCTGATCAGTTTAAAAAGGGCCCCAGAGGACAGGCAAAGCCCAAGGGCACACAACGATGCCACTTAAGCGACGACCCCGGCTTACTACACTAGCTCTTCCCGTGAGGCCTACACACGTGGCCGACGTGAGGGAGATGGCCGCTTCCCCGCTGGCACTGGCGGCTGACGAGTGGAGACCAGACCCCCGACCCCCCCGCTTTGGACCGGTGGGGGTTATCCCGGTCCACCCTCGGGAGACCCTGAGACAGCCCAGCAAGAATGTCGCGGTGACACAGGGGACTGCCACAAGCGATGACAAGGCACCCAAAATGGCGGAGGAGGCGTGCTTCACTAGGTCTCACAGCGAGCTTCCAGAGTTCAAGCATCGGCTGAACAGGACCTTCCGGATTTTCTGGGAAAAGCTAGAGGCCCTTCTGTTCCCAATGGACCTAGAGGCTGAGCCGGAAACCGAGCCACACACTCATCCGCACAAGTACAAGCGTGAAGCAGCACAGGCTCCCCGGACATCTAACCGTCCAGAGGGCTGGGCAGCTAAACAGAGAAGACAAAGGGGCATCAACCACCCAACTCTGACTTGTGGAGCCCAAACAACAGCACTACAGCCCCACTCAAATGGACCGCTTAAGCCCCCATCAACCAGTAAGAGCCGCAAGCACATACAGAGGGTGAGGCACCGACGACAAAACAGGAACCTACCGAAAGCCTCGGATCCCAGCACTACCACCAGCCTGACAAACAAGAGGAGCAGAGGTATGCTCCTAGCCAGCAACGGAAATCTACGACAACCAGCAAGCGGGACACCGCAAGTGGAATATCCTCACCGGCACGAAGCCCAGAACCTGCTGCAACCTAACCAGATGACGCGGGGGAATCTCGCCGTCACAAAGGCACCGGAACGGGACTGTGGTATACCTCCTGCGGGCGTGGGCTGACTGGGACTCTGGAAACCATAGAAGAGTCACCCACCCCTTGCCTCATATAGACTAACTGTAATTATGGCAAATTTAATGTTTCTTATTAAATCTAGTGATGCTTTTATACCCCTACGCTCCTGAGTTATGCTTAACTTTAATCTGTTTTGACCACCTCTCCTAGCTAATGATAAGGGCACACATTACTGAAGACTCCAAGACTCTTAGCGTTAAATTCCCTACCCCTTAGCTATGCCCACCAACTGCCTGCTGTAACAAGCCTTGCTGTGGCACCCCAAGAGCTGCGCTGGCACCTGAGAACATAGCAACTCTCATTCCATCTTAGGTCTTCTCCTAGAGTGCTGCAGCATGCTATTTCTATTCATGTCAAATCGCCAACTGCCAGATCAGCAAACCTGCTAGCACTACTGATACTTTCATGCCATAAGGTTCATAACCTGTGTTTCATAGAAATTTACTAATACTGTTGAAAGCTCATTATTATATGTGATTAAGATTGCTAGCATACTTACCTTACTCTTAACAAAGTTACCGTCTCGCTATTGATTCAAAGCAAGTTTTCACACTATAATATAAAAAATGTGCTGTTTTACATGCCACGCTATGTACTGTTTTGTTACCGTTTGCAACTGCGGTCGTGGCTTTGCATCCCTGTTAGCTACTTCAAGCACACGAAAAATAAAGAATAAAAAAAAAAAAAAAAATTACAAAACATTGTATTTCATACAAGAACATGTATAACTGAAACAGAACCAAAATGATTGTGAGAGCAAAGGACAAAGATGAAAATAAGAGAGTGGATCTAAATCCAAAAAAAGATAATATTCCCAGAGTGGAGTGCTCTATTCATAACAGAGAACTGTGTGTCATAGTGAAATAATTAAAATGGTTTACACTGTCAAATTGGCAGAACATTGACAAGCTCGCTTGAAGCACAAACCCACACACGACTGTAGTACGTTTGGAATGTTAGTTCAATAGATCTCCTCTGCCCGACATAATAGCATTTTTATGCATGCAAAAACTGTAGGAGCAAAATACTGGTACAGATGAATAATCAACGTCATTTTCTGAAGATGTGTCATAACGGAATGGGAACGGAGTTTCCTAGTTCAAGCAGAATAGCAATTTTTGTGGAAGAAACCATTGCTCATTCCTTCAACCAAAAAAAAAAAAAAAAACCCAACACATGTTTTCTAAGCTTGTGGGTTGTGCCAAAAAATTATAATTTAATTTTAAAGGAACAATCCTAGGTGACTATAGCCCCTATTATTTTTATGTTATTTATATAGCACCAACAAATTCCGCAGGGCTTTACAGTGGGTGGATGAACAAACATGTAGTTATAACCAGAAAAGTTGGAGACACAGAAATAGAGGGGTTGAGGGCCCTGCTCAATGAGCTTACATGCTAGAGGGAGTGGGGTAAAGTTACACAAAAGGTAAGGCTAGTATTAGACTAATGACAGTTGCATGGAGGAATCAACCGGGAGCTATTAACAGTTTAATTGATATGTTTTTATGAAGAAGTGGGGTTTTTTTATGATTTTTTGAAGGAATGGAGACTGGGTGAGCATCTAACGGAGGAGGGAAGTGAGTTCCACATGAACGGTGCAGCCCTCGATAAGTCTTGAAGGCGAGCATCAGAGGTGGGAGTACGGACAGAAGATAGACGCAAGTCTTCAGCAGGGCATAAGGTCCTAGATGGGACATACTTGTGTATTAGGGAGGATAGATAGGTGGGAGTAGCATTATGTAGAGATTAGAAAGCAAGAACCAGAATTTTAAATTGAGCCCTATATCTTACAGGAAGCCAATGTAGGGACTGACAGAATGGTGAGGCGTGGGCGGACAGGAAGATGAGCCCTGCCGCCGCATTCATTATGGACTGTAACAGTGAAAGTTGGGAGCACGTAAGACCACTTAGAAGTGGATTACAGTAATCAAGGCGAAAAAAAAGACAGTGGAATGGACCAACATCTTAGTCGCATTGGGCGTTAAGTAGGGTCCGATGCGCGCAATGTTTTTGAGATGGAAGCGGCAGGATTTGGCGATAGACTGAACACGAGGTGTGAAGGAGAGGTCGGAGTCAAAGAGAACACCTAGGCAGCGAACCTGTGAGGTGGAGCTGATGGTAGCACCGTTGACTTGGAGGGAGACAGACACAGGAGTAACAACACTTGAGGGAGGAAAGACCACAATTTCAGTTTTGGTCAAGTTGAGTTTAAGGAAGTGGGCAGCCATCCAGTAAGATATAGCAGAGAGGCAGTCAAAGACACTAGTCAAGAGAACGGGGAGAGATCAGGAGAGGACAGGTAGATTTGCGTGTAATCCGCAAAGAAATGATATTGGAAGCCAAAGGAAGTAATGAGTTTACCAAGGGAGGCAGTATAGATGAAGAACAGTAGGGGACCAAGGACTGAATCTTGGGGGACACCAACAGAGAGGAGTTGGGGAGAAGAAGCAGAGCCAGAGAAAGAAACACTGAAAGAGTGCTGGAAGAGCACCATGAGAGAGCAATATCTTGTAGACCGATATTGCGGAGGATGAGAAGAAGCTGTTGATGACCAACAGTGTCAAAAGCCGCAGAAAGGTCAAGAAGAATTAGGATGGAGTAGTGACTATGAGATTTTGCAGCGAGTAGAGCATTGGATACTTTGGTCAGTGCCTGTTCCACAGAGTGGTTATGGGGCAGGAATCAAAGGGCGCCATCTTGCCTTCAGATTTGTTAACACTTTTGAACATTTTAACCTTGAAGTTGATGCTTTGGGCGCCTGACAACACTGCCGTGTCTCCTTCACTGGCTGCTGTCTAGTACAGGAAGTTCATTGCTCCATTGAAAAGCCTAGTAGTAGAGCAGGGATTTCCCAGCTCTCATACCAATGTGTTAGTATGTCATTACGGATGAGATGTTGATGTGAGAGGTACAAATGCAGATACACACACACACACAAAGATACACAGACACATCCCTGCAGGTAGACAAGCAAATACATTCACACAGATACACATAATGACACCCATGCAGATGAAACCACTGACGCACATGCAGATACACAGCAGCACACATGCAGATACATACACAGATAGATACCAAGACACATACATATACATACAGAAACACAAAAATACAAAGACACAAAGATATATACACACACAGACGGATAGCTAACTAGATAGCTAGAGACAGACACATTCTAATACATGGACAAACATGCAAAATGCAATTATTAAAAGGCCCAGTTGTGCTGTTAAAAGGGCCACAGAAGACACATTTCCATTAGGTGACCCTAAGTGCATGGGTCACCCGTTGGGCCCTCTCAGCGCAGGGGACCTGGTGCAGCCTCACCAGCAGTGGATTTGCTGCTGTAAAATTGTGAGAAAATAGAAAGGGTGCACAAATCCCACAAATCAAACATTTGCAATATTACACAGGTGGAATTTTCCTGACTCAGCCAATGTAGGGACTGACCGAAGGGTGAAGCGTGGGCGGACAGGAAGATGAGCCTTGCTGCTGCATTCATTATGGACTGTAACGGTGCAAGTTGGAAGCACGTAAGACCACTTAGAAGTGGATTACAGTAATCAAGGCGAGAAAAGACAGTGGAATGGACCAACACCTTAGTCGCATTGGGCGTTAAGTAGGGTCGGATGCGCGCAATGTTTTTGAGATGGAAGCGGCAGGATTTGTCGATAGACTGAACATGATGCGTGAAGGAGAGGTCGGAGTCAAAGAGAACACCTAGGCAGCGAGCCTGCGTAGTGGAGTTGATGGTAACACCGTTGACTTAGAGGGAGGGAGACACAGGAGTAACAACACTTGAGGGAGGAAAGACCAGAATTTCAGTTTTGGTCAAGTTGAGTTTAACCCCTTAAGGACCAAACTTATGGAATAAAAGGGAATCATGACATGTCTCACATGTCATGTGTCCTTAAGGGGTTAAGGAAGTGGGCATGGAAAAACATGCAAAATGCAATTATTAAAAGGCCCAGTTGTGCTGTTAAAAGAGCCACAGAAGACACATTTCCATTATGTGACCCTTAGTGCATGGGTCACCCGTTGGGCCCCCTCAGCGCAGGGGACCTGGTGCAGCCTCACCAGCAGTGGATTTGCTACTGTAAAATTGTGAGAAAACAGAAAGGGTGCACAAATCCCGCAAATCAAACATTTGCAATATTACACAGGTGGAATTTTCCCGACTCAGTCACCTCTTCCCAAAGACAAGAGATTATATATATATATATAAAATTTTAAAACCTAGAGAGATTTAAAGGAGCCATCATAATTTTCACGAATATATATATATATATAATCGTGAAAATTATGATGGCTCCTTTAAATCTCTCTAGGTTTTACATTTGATCACTTTGCTTGTGTGGCAGCAATTTTCAGTTTTTGGTTTTTTTTGCAATTATACCATGAGGTTCTACATATCTCATTAGGTAAATTACTCCATAATAAAAATTCTGTCTAAAACATTTTTTGAATACAGCCTGGGAGGACATACCTGGTAAATTCTATTTATGAGAATATTTACAGCTGCACTGGATACATTTTCTGTAAAACATTTATTAAAAAAACTGGAGAGAGTAAATTTCCACTTGATTGCTTTTTGTGTAGGTGGGTTGTAACTTTCTGCTAAAGAATCCTAGCAGACAATATGTGAGCCCTTGTGAGCTAGTCCTTAAATTCACTTGTGACTATGTATAATATTTATTATTACTAGCATTTATATAGCACCAACATATTCCGCAGCGCATTACAATTATACAATGGGGATATCGGACAACAAGTAAAAGATACAAAAACTTCTGCTCTCTCTGCATTCCTGAAAGACAATGTCTGTCAATCCCGTGGGGGTACACAAGAAACAGTTGCAATTGTTTCCTTGCTTTTCAGAGCCAGTATGCGTTGAACCCCGGCAACTTCAAAAATTACTTCAACCACCATGACCACTTCAGTGATTCAAGTGGTCATTGTGGTAGGAGTCAGTATGCGCA